GAAATTCATACCTTGGGTCTGTTATGGCCTATGTATAGGTTGAATGGCTGCAAGAGTTGAACAATAAGCCAACTATACCAACTCATATATATCCAATTCACATAAACTCCATTAAGTCAGATGCTGAGCACTAGAGCTCAGCTTCAGAGAAGCAGTATGTAAGAGCCCTGCAACATGGTTCAATAGGTTGTGTGATACAGAGAAAACATTGTAATGACATTTAGATAAACAAATAAGAACCATAAGATGAATTGAGGAGCACTTTGGTGAAAAGACAATATCAAATCCTTTAAAACCACTTGATATTTGGATGAGAAAAATAGAATCAACTAATTACTAGTGTAGAGGCAGCCAGAGGCAAGAAAGCACATTGAATCATTCTAAATTTGGCTTACTATTTTGGACTTGAAAATAATTGTTGATCTCCAAATATGGGTGTGTTGGCTACAAAAAAATCTAAAAGTAAGTTACAGAGACTGTCAAGTTATCCACAAAAGAGTTTAACTAAATTGATAGGTCAAATAAATATGAGAGAAATTCATATAATTGTATATAATTGTATACATACATAGCTAGTGTCTGCTGTGGCCTACTTATATATATGTGGGTTCAATTGCCACAAGAGTTGAACAATAATGTGATTAAAGAAATTAAGATGTTGAAGTTGATATAGTTAACAGTCACAAAACATAAAACAAGAAATTTCTCAAGTCTGTTTTACTGCTTATTACAATACAAAATAAAACAAATATTACTTAAACAATCATTAATTAAACAAAGTTCATCCATAGCACAAAACAACAAATTACAACAGAGATTGCACTGGATTGAAGTGAGTGTGAGTCCCAATTTTTTTGTTTTCCTCAGCTGTAAATGTTGCTGAGTTGAAGAAATAGGTTTGAGATGGTAAGAGATGGAGCCTGCACGAACATGTATGGAGAAATTACTTAATTCTAAGGATGCAAATATTAGTCAGCCAAAAAAAAAAAAAAAGGGAAAAAAGGAAAATGTTCAAGAAAACATAAACATATATACCTGGGCTGGGCATTAGAAAGTGGACACAAATTGACCACATTGATATTCAATGGATGACTCAGGAAATCCATTCAGGTGCTTGCTCCCTATGAATGAATAATTTAAAAAGGAATTAGCATCCAATTAAGGGAGATAGACATCTCATCAGAAGCAAATCAACAAACATATATACCTGAGCTGAGCTGCACATTAGAAACTAGTCAATTGATAATTGAAACTCGTAGAGGCAGAAGGAAATGCTAAACAGAACCATATTCAATAGATACCAAAGTGCTGCAATTGTGAATAATCAAAAAAGGAATTAGCGAGACAGACATCTTATTAGCAAATCAGTCAAGATTAGATAATTGAGCAAATCAACGGAGATTAACACTTGGATTCATTCAGAAACAAGAGATACAAACATTTATTTATGAAATACCAGTGAGAGAGAAGGAATGGAATGCAAGTGATGGAAAAAGGGAGTGTAATGAGACTTACCCCCCAATATATTTGAGGAAAGGTAGGAGGACAATCTTATCGTCAGGATTCTCCCACTCCAACGATTCCCACCATTTTTTATGATTCAAAATAAAGATAGATTTGACAGCAGGAAAAGATGGTTGCGCGTTTTCCCTTCCAAGACAAAGGGGAATCCTCTTTACCTGCAGACACTGCGATATTGTGATGCTATTGAGAGATTCACAAACCATTACTCCTCTTTCGGGGCAGATTCTCTTCAATCCTAGTAGGACTTGCAACTCCAATATCCTTAATTTTGGAAGAGTGATCAATATTGGAGTAGTTGTTTGATTTCTTTTCTCTTCTTCTGCCCATCCTATTATTTCCTCCATTCCCCAACAATCTTTCACCTGAATCAGCTCCAAGTTTTGGAGGCCCTGACCCTGCAACAGCTCACATGGAAAAAGCTTCTTCAAATTTAAACAATAGCATACCCTCAGCTGTTTAAGATTGGAAAAGATGTGAGGGGATATTGTTGGTGCAAGCGATGCTCTTGTTTTTTCCACTTTCACAACATCCCGCAAGCTAAGCGAACGCTCAAGAGTTAGTACTTCAAGGTTATTCATAACTGTCAAGGAAGTAGATGAAGATGATGACAAAGAGACCACACACCGTAGCCCTACGCAGTTTTTCAAAGCACATGTTCGCAATTGAGTAAAATCTTTCTGAAAAATTGAAGTATCACCGACCGCATTGCAGGATTCAATCCTCAAGTCCTGAAGGTCATCTGGAAGGACCAACTCATCTTCTTCTCTTATCTCGCATCCGATTAAAATTACCTGTTTAGGAAGATCATTATTATTGAACTTCCAAAAATGCCCCTCCTTATCTTTGTCTGCGCCTCCCACTTTGATAAAGTAATGACTGGGTCTTTCAAAATGGTTCAACTTGCTAACAAAACTGCTGAAGTCTTTCAGCAAATCAAATGTACCTTCAAACCATTCCAGCATCTTCAATCCTGCTGCTTCTTCTCCTCTTATTTCAGTTGGAAAAATCCGATGTTTACGTAGGTATTGGAGGCGGAAGAGCTTACTGATTTTTCCTCTTGGTAGGACCCTCATGTTGGGACAAGATAAATCAAGATATTCCAGATTTTCTAACATTTCAATGCCTTCAGGAGTCTCACGAAGGCCTGCTCCATCCAAATCCAACTTCTTCAGTGCTTTAAGCTTTGACAAGGAAGGCATGCGCTTTAAATTCCAACATCTACAGAGGATCAGTGTAGTGAGATATTCCAAGTTACATATGGAATTAGGTAGAACCTCAATGTCAGTTCTAGAAAGATCAAGAAACTTCAGCATGGGCATGTTTGCAAAAAAACACTCTGAAATTTGTCTCAATCCTTTATTACCCTCCAAAATCAAGGTTGAGAGCATCAAGCATTTGGGGGACACATTTTGAGGGATATATGATATTACATTTTCCATGAGGGAGACCTTGTCTAGGTCTTCATTCCATTCATCCTCATCTGGTATCTTTGTCATTCTCATTCCAGCTTTTACCATAAACCGACCAGGACCCGTGCTCTTGATGTGCAATGCCATGTCCCTCACAACATCATGCATCTTAACAGACTCCTTAGGATAGGCTTCCTCTAACAAACAACAGTTTAAAAGCCTATTTAAAATAGCATTTCCTTTATCATGCATTTCTCTTCTGCTTCCTAATTTTTGAACAGTTCCCTCACAAATCCAGTTTTCAATTAGATCTTTTCTTGTAATATTCCAATCTTCTGGATACAATGAGCAATATAAGAAACACTCTTGGATGCTTGAATTTTTTGGTAGACGGTCATAACTGAACTTCAAACGATTAAATATCTCATCTTCTGAATCTTTCTCTGTGTCCACCACACATTGACGCAATTCACGTAATGCATTTCTCCACTCAGAAATATCTTGTACTCCTCTCATGCTCCCCGCAATGACAACAATGGCCAATGGCAAACCAGCGCATTCAGCCACCATAAGCTTCAAAATCTGTTCCAAATTGGGAATTCGTAGAACATCTTGTCCAACCTTATCTAAAAACAAGTTCAAAGACTCTAGCTCTGGTAGAGGTGGCACTTTAACTACCTGACATCTCAAGTAGTTGCATACATCAATCGATCTGCTAGTAATAACAATTTTACACCCATTTTCCATTGTTGGTT